AGACACATGGTGTGGGTCTGTCATGGGCGGGTTCTGCACACCCGAGCCCCCACTTCCAATCCCCCCCAACCCCCCTTGGGATTTTACACCCCCCCCCCAGCCGCTATTGTGCCAGCCCCACAATTAATTAAGTGTCCATCCAGTGACAGCCCGCCAAAACGTTTGAAATAAACAGGGAACAATTGGGATGGGATGATACAGGCCGGGAACAAAGTCCTAGTGAGAGGGTGGAGCGGAATGGAAATGAGGGATTGTAAATTTGGAGGGTGAAAAGAATGAGGGGAAGGGGGGGAAGGGGAGTGGGCCAGGCGGGAGAGGGGGATTCGTGGCCCTCCCGCCATGGAGCGATGCTGAAACAAGTCAGGCTGCTGGAATCCGTGGAAAATGAGGGGCCGGAGGGGCTGCGGGTTAAGGTGGAGCGGGTCGGGCGGGCGGGTCGGGTGCTGAGAGGTCTGCGAGGGGGGCTCTGTACCCACTGAGCCTTATGCTGGGGTCTGCCGTGGGTGTCGGGGAGAGAGGGCCCGACTGCGGGTCACAGTGACCCCGGCACGGGGGGATGTGTCCCGGGACTGGTTCCTGGGGAAGCAGGGCCGGGTGTGCTCCCTGCCCGGCATGGGGTACAGGGACCCCACAGACAGACCCCGCCGGGTGCCCGAGGCCGAGGTGGCACGGCAGTGAGTTGGCACCAGGCTCTGGTGTCCCCAGGCAGGGACCTCTCTCAGACTGACTCCCACTGTCCCGTGGGGTCCCTCGGGAGGGGTTCCCTTGGGACATCCGAGCGTGCAGGGAGATGGGACGCTGCCATTCGCAGGCTGGATCCCGGTGTCCGCATGGGCACACGGCGGTGAGTGTGACCCAGCCCCACTGCAGCACCCCGCGGGGGGTTTGCACCCTGAACCCCCTCCCCCAGCTCGGGAGGGGGAGGAAATCCCCGATCCACCTTAACGTGGTGTTTTGGGAGGAACCTCGGCCACAGCTGGACAAAGCCACCGTGGACACCCCTGGCGTGTCCACCCCGGGCCGCTCCTGGCCTCGGGCACTGGCCGGGGGGGCCCGGAGCACTCAGTGAGCAGCCACTGGAGCTGGGGCTGAGCTGGGACAGGGCAAAGCCCCACCCCCGTGGGGCAGAGCATCCCCGGGCTTCACAGGAGCTGTCACCCCGTGTCCCCGCTGCCGGAGGGAGGGCTGCGGGGCCGGGGACCGGCTGCCCCCCGGGACCTGCCCGAGCAGGGTGTAGGGGACCCGGCAGCGGGTCCTGGCAGCTCTGGTCACCGGTCCCTCCCCTGTCCGGTGCCCGGGACGCTCGATCTCGCAGTGCCCTCTTGTGACCACGGCCATTGCGGCTGCTCCTCCCGCCGCCCCCGGCGGAGACCCCTTCGGGCTGGACACGCCGGGCTCTCAGGGTGATGGGGTGTCTGTGGCAGGACCCATGTCCCGCCGCGGGGCAGGGGATGGGCTCATCCAATAGGACTTTCACGGATCCCCTGGTCCAAGCCCTGCCCTGGGCACGGACATCTCCCCTCAGTCAAGGAGGCAGCTCCCTCCTACCCCGTGTTCCTTGCCTTATATCCAACCTAAATCCATCCTCTTCCAGCCTAAAGCTGTCACCCTTCTCCCATCTCCATCATCCCTATTAGCACCTCATACACTGACAGGCTCCAGAATGTCTTCTCCAGGCTCACCCACCCTACCTCTCCCAGCCTTCATCTGAAGGAGGCACCTTCCAGCCCCAGCCATTCCTATGGTCTCCACTGGACCCTCTCTGACAGCTCCAGCTCTGCCCTGTGCTGGGACCCCAGCGTTAAACATGCGCTCCAGGATGGAGTGTCTCTCACCAGTGGGGACAAAGGGGGCCGTGGGTGCTCCTGTGTTGTGGGTGGGTGACAGCAAGGGCAGGGCCCAGAAGCAAAAACCCTCCTGCAAAGGCAAAAAGGGGACTCGGGAGGAGCTGCTCAGAGCCCCCTTTTTGGGGTTCCCCATCCTCTGCATCCCGCTGCCTGGCCTCCCACGGCTGCGTGGGAGCTCAGCTGAGCACCCAAAGGAGAAGCAGCTGTGCCAGGCACCCACCTCATCGTTCAAAAATAGTTGAGGAGCCTCACCTCAACGCCCAGCCTAGCAAGGGGGCAATTAGGGATACCCCCAGCCCTTCCCCATGGAACCTGTGTGCTGAGCAAGCTCCATCCCCCCCACTGACTCTGAGTATCCACACCCCCAGGCTGGTGTCCCACACCCCCAGGCTGGTGTCCCTGAGGGCAGGCATGAACCCTGGAGAAGCTCAGGGAGGCTGTCAGGAGGGGAAACACTGGATTAGGGTCCCCGTGAAATGGCAAAGATGGGGTCCCCCATGGCAAGGCAGTAGTCCCCAAGGCAAAGAGGGGGACCATATGCCAGGGCAAGCATCCCCACAGGAAAAAGGTGATATCCATGGCAAGGAAGGAGTGCCCATGGCAAGGTGGGAGTTCCATGGCAAGATGGGAGTCCCTGTGGCAGGGCAAGGGTGCAGTGGGCAAGAGGAGTCCACATGTCAAGGCAAGGGTCCCCACAGCATAAAGATTATTCCCATGGCAAGGAGAGCATCCCATGGCAAGGGATGTCTACATCCCTTGTGGACTAGTGGGGGACCACGGTAGTGGGAGCAGGTCCCCGTGGCACAGTGAGGCTCCCAGCAGCTGCAATGAGGGTGCTCACAACTGAAAGAGGACCCCCACAGTGAGGTGAGGGTCCTAATAGCAAAGCAATGGTCCAGTTGGTATCCTGCCCTCACCAGCCCTCCCCTGCTTAGGGCTGTCACCCTGGGGGGTGTCAGATCCTTGGCAGGGGAGGTCCAGGGGCACTGAACCCTATGGAGGGCACTGGGGGGAGCCGAGAGAGGCTGAGCCCTGTGTGTCCCTCGATGGGCTGTGCCAGGATGGTGACCCCAGGCCGGCCAGGCCATGCGGTCCCCATGGCAGCCCCCCTGCCACCACCACAGCAAGGCCCCGCGGGAGCATCCTGCGGGGCGGCGAATGGAGCTGCCTATTGATTCACAGCCCGGGCTAAAAATAACTTTCAACTCTTCATCCCGAGCTGTGAAATCCCCCATTGCTAGGCGACGGGTTACCGGGAGACAGCCGGCGCTAGGCGACGGCGGTTGCCGCGGCGACAGCCCCCTCCCCGGCGCACTGCGGTCCAGCTTCCGCACCCCTGGGCCGGCTGACCGACCAGTGATGCTCGGCCCAGGGTCGTGTCGTTATGGGGCTCTGATGGGAGTGTGGGGTGTGACCCGTCAGCACCCCCAGGGCGGTGGGGCTGCTGGAGGGCCAATGGGGTGCTGGCAGTCTGCGTAAAGATGAGTTGGGGAGCAGTGGTGTCGCTTGGCTCTTGGCTGCTGACCCAGCCTGAGTGTGGGGTTATTGGCCACCACCCTGCTGGTACCCATGGGGGACAAACCCCATGGACCAGGGAGGCTCGAGGGTCCAGGTCTGCCAACAGCACAGAGTTGCCAGTGGCTGCAGGGTGAGCTGGGACACCCCACTAGGCACCCCATGATGTGGATACCCCCACCGAGCTGTGCTCCCCCACTTGGAACATGTGCATGAAGAATCTCCCTGCCCAGGGGTTTCACCAGCAGCTGTGAACCTTCTTGGTATGAGAATGTGCCCAGGACATGGGGCCACCCAGACATGTTCTGCCTTGTGCCTGGAGCTGGCAGGAATTAGTGACAACAGAGCTGTGCCAGGCCCAAGAGGACAGCAAGGACCCTCTGGGACCCGGCTGTCTCCCTGTGCCTGGAATCACTGCAATCACTCGGGGAGTTGGACCACCACCTGCTGCTCTTGGACTGGCAATTGCCCTGGGACACCCCATTTGGTGAGGACAAGGGCTCACAAGGTGAAGGACCTCCAGTTCCTTATGCGATGGGGAGAAGATGCATCACCATGATGAGGATGCTGACCTGCACATCCCCACAGTCACTGGAGGGCACCTTTATCTGCATTGGTCACCCATTGGGCAGGGTGTGAGTGAGTGTGAGTGTGAGTGTGTGTGTATATGCCCAGTCTCCTCCCACAGGCTCCCTCCCGGCTGCCAGTGCGAAATCCGACCTGCTTCATAAATAATGGAGGAAGGAGCCAGGCGCCGGATCCAGGCAGCTCCATCAGCCTCCCCAGGGACAGGGGAAGGGGCTAAATGTGGCAGCTAACCGGTCCCCTGCAGTCTGGGGAGCAGTGGTGAAGCTGGGCCCTGGCCTGCTGGGTGGGTGCTGAGCTAGGGGGGTGGGAAATGGGGCATCCCCCAGCTGCAGGTCCTGCTGCCAGCTATGGCCTGGTCAGCTGAAGCACCCCCGTTCCCCGGGTGTCCGCAGCACCCCGGCTTGCTGGAGCTGCAGCGACCATTCCCGTTGTGCTCTAGGCGCTGTCAAGCAGAGCCAGAGCTGGCTGCTGAGGCGAGGGGTCTGCACCAGGATCTCCGGCTGCCAGCGCCCTGCTGGGGAGAGAGCCAGAGCAAGCATCCTTCTGTCCATCCAGCCTGCCAGCCACCCCTCCAGCCCTCCAGCCACCACTTCACCCGGACCTCCATCCCTCCTTCCACCCCTCATCCCTCCATTCATCCCTCCATCGCTCCTCCATCCTTCCATCCCTCCATCCCTCCATTGCTCCATCCACCCTTCCAGCATACCTGCTTCCCTTCATCCCTTCATCTCCTCCATCCTTTTATCCCTCCATTGCTCCTTCATCCCTTATCCCTCTCCCATCTAGCCATTCTTCTCCCCATCCTCCCATCCTTCCATCTCCCATCCCTCCCTCCATCCCCCCCATCATCCCACCCCTGCATTCCCCCCCACCCTCTCCCCCTGCCTGCACACCCCGCTGCCAGCCCAGCCCTGCCCGCTCCCCCCCGCATCTCTTACCGGTGGCCTCGCCGCTCACCTCACCGCTCCTGGTGCCGGTGCCATCCCACCTCGATCCATTACCGCTTCCGACGACCGTGTCTCTTTAACAGCCTCAGCTGCTGACACTCGTGTGCGTGTGTGAACCGCGCGTGTGCGTGTGCAGCTCCGGCTCCCCGGGCTGGCGGGCAGGAGGGACCCCCCTTCTCCATCCTCCCCGGATCCGGCCCCATCCCACTCCCACCCCCCTCCCCGCTTATTTTTCCTGTTGTTCAGCGGGGCTGGGGCGGGGGCCGGGCAGGATCCGGCCCCTTTTCCAGCGGGGATTTGGAGGGGGAGAATTTTTCCCGGTTTTCTTCCCGGTGTTTTTTTTTCCTGCTACCGAGAGAGGACGGGCAGAAGGCATGGCATGAGCTGCGGGAGACGGCGCTGGAGGTAAGAGCCGCCCGGGAAAGCCCTTCACAACACAAAGCCGGTGCCGGTGCTCCTGAAACCGGCACCGGCACCGACACTGCATCCACCCCCCGCCGCCGCATCCCGCAACATGGAGCTTCGTTATATAACGGCGGCGGAGCCGGCCCGGCCCCGGGGCTCCCGGTCCCGTAGCGCCCCCCCCCCCCCATCTCCCGCCGGCTAACAGTAGCTCAACCGAGGATGGTGTTCGGTGTGACCCCCCTCAGTGATGCTGCATCACGCCCCCAGCGCCCTGGTTTGGGGACCGGGGGAATGCTAGGGGGTGGGGGGTTAATGTGATTTCCCCCCCCCCCTCCCCGTATGGCCGAGCATCACCGAGTGGGCAGCTGCGAGGGGGGGGTGGGGGCAGGGTAGGTACCGCGGGATGTTTTGGGGTTGGGGGGACATCGCTGTGGGGACAGTGTCACCCGGGTGTGGGGTTGCTGCTGCCCCCCCCCCCCCAAACTGACCCTTGTCTTCCTTGGTGGCACCATGGGACCACTGGCACCCCCAGAGCTGCCCCCCAACACCTTGGTGGGGCTTTTATTGGGTGCAGGGTGACACAGGCGGGGGGGGGGAACAGGGGCGGCCACGCTCATCCCCAGGCCCATGAGACAGAGGAAGGAAAGGTCCTGGCTGGGATAGGGCCAAGGAGGCTGAGCCCCACAGCAGGGTCCCACAGAGCCCAGTGTGAGGCCAGGGACACCTCAGCAGCAAGGATGGGGGCAAAGGATCAGGGCAGGTTGTTTGGGCAGGGGAGGGGATGGGGACAAATAGAGTGGTCTGTGATTGAAGTCAGGTGGGTCTGGGGGCCAGGCAGGCTGAGCCCCATGGAAGAGCTGGGCCAGGCATAGGTGGGGGAAACTGAGGCAAGGGGTTGTGGCAGCAACCAGGGAGAGACTCCCATGGTCTCCATGGGTGCCATGGAGAACTGGGCCGGGGCACCTCTGGCTCTTGGACATCCACCAGTGCTGGTGGGACGTGGCAGTGCCCAGGCAGTAAAGACTCGAATGTAGTAGTCCCTGCAGCAGTAATGCTCTGGAAGAGGTCCTGCTCCATAACCACACTCTGCTGGGGGTGCAGGGGCTATTGGGTCCCCTCCCCAGTACCCAGAGGGTCTTGGCACACAGCAGGATGGGAGCAGCAGGCGCAGAGCAAGTGCTGTGCCGTGCTGGCATCTCCCCTCCTCTGAAAGCTGGTTGCTGATTTCACTCCGGCTACCAGGAAGAGGGAGGGAGGTGGCTTTGGAGTGGGGAGGATTCGTTTGAGCATCCATTTTTAATGAGCTAGATATCTATTTTTCCCCGAGCTGGCTTCCCCCACATCGATCCTTCGCCATCCACCGGGCCTGCTCCCCTCCCTGTGCCAGCAGCTCCCCATGCAGTGGGGAGCAGCAGGATGAGCATCCCCAGCGCTGGGAACCTCCTGCCTCCCCAGATCCTGCTCCTGGGGGTGGAGGGACCCTCTCTTGGGCCATGTGGCACATATGGGATGGCAGATGGAGGGAAAAGATCCCCTTGTCCACTCTGGTGGGGTCACCTCCATGTTGACCATCCCATGGAGATGTGGCCATGCTCCAGCCAGGATAAGGGCTGGAGTAGGATCACTTTGAGTTGGGGGGCTGGATCCTGCCTTCATGCTTTGCAGATCTGAGCTGTGCCTGGCTCAGACTGGCAACTCCATGGCAAATCCACGGCACCATTCCCATACCTCTGTTTCCCAAGCCATCTCCAAGCCATGGTCTGTTGCTCCCCACCGCTGCCTGTGCAGATGGAGCAGCACCCAGAGGAGGCAAAAGGGGATTCTGGATGCGAGTGGGTGTCGATGGTGTGGGAGGGAGAAGGATAGAGTGCGTGGGTGTGCAGGGCTCTCTCAGCAGCATCCCACCCGCAGCCAACCTCTGCCCACCCACCACGGGGACCATCCACACTTGTTCGGGGTGCTCCACAGCCAGCAGTGCTGAGGGCTCAGGACATCAGAAGCCCTTTCTCCAGGCTTTTTCCCTGTTGGAAGTGTGACCTGTGCCCATCTCCTGGTTGGGGGAGCAGGATCAGGCTCTTGCTTTTGCTTCCAGAGTGCAGCTTTTCAGAGCCTGTGTTGGCATTTAGCACTCACAGCTGCGTGCAGCAAGGAGCTCTGGATGCCCCAGTGTCCCACGACCCTGGTGCTGTTAGCTCCATGCTGGAAGTGTTTGCCCACCTTGCCTCAACCCCGTCTCCTGGCCAGACTCCTGAGCCCCAGGGCAGAGGGCATTGCTGCTTGCATGGCTGTTGCCTTCTCTGGAGGGATAAAGGGGGCTGAAGAAGAAACTCAATTCCCAGCAGTTCCTAAGGGAACATCTGTGTCCTGGGGAGAGGGGGCTCAGCGGCAGCCATGGGCCACGGTCTCCATTCTCCTTGTGGGATCTTGCATGTTTGTTCACCCCTTTCTGGGCCCAAGAGGGACAATGAGAAGGGCTGTAACACAGTCGGTGCTGTTGGTTGAGCTCTGGCTGGCTTTGTAGTGAGGGGAAGCCAGGCTGGGCAGGAGCTGTCACAAGAGGAGCCGTTCCCTCTTCCCCTGCCCTCAGCTGGTGGGGAAATAGGCTGAAGCACAAGCATCCTCCCATGGCGCTGAGAGCCAGGACCTTCAGAAGAGGCTGAGATCCAGCTCTGCCCTGATCTGGACATCCTGTGCTTCTCTTGGGCAAGGGGTTCCTCCTGAGGGGATGTGGGGCTGCCTGGGATAGGGATGGAGGTCAGGGCTTGATGTCTTGGGAGATTTGGGTCTTAGCAGAGAAGATAAATGCTGCTGCAGGAAGGGCTTGTGGCAGCCAGAGCAAGGAAGTTTTGCCTGGCCAGGCTGGGAGGGCTGGTGCTCTGCTTCCTCCCTACAGCTTCCCATGCTGAGGGCTTGGGTACAGGAGCTGCATCTCCTGATGCTCCTGGACATGAGCTGTTCTCTCAGACAAGCAGAACGTGGTAGGTCTGCAGCAGAGCTTGGCTTGGGCCCCTCAGCCAGCATTTCCCCAGCTCCCTGGGCACAGGGCTGGCCCCACAGAACCTGGCTCCAGGTCTTGCTGTTAAAGCTGTGGGACCTGGGGCAGAGCAGTGCTGGGGACGCCTGGTCGTGACAGCTCCACTGCCTGGCCATGAGCTGCCTGAGACTTCGCAATGGATTCACCAGCCAGCCCACCACTGACAGCAGCATCCAACAGGAATGGGACTCAAACCAGTTGTTTTCCCAGCCTCTTTGTCCACTGCAAGGTGGGATACCCTCTTTGGTGTTATTGGGAGCCAACAAGGGAGCAGGAAAGCTGCTCTTAGCCCTCCAGACTCCCAAAGAGTTCTCAGGGTAATCTTGGGAAGGAGTTTCCTGGCTCCCATCACACAAATGGCAAGTCTCCAGGGCCACACAGAGCAGCAAGGTCTTTCCCCACCATGAATTCCTGGCTTGTGTGGTGGGGAATAGGCGGCACTGAGCTTGAAGCTGTGCTCTGAGCCTCTCTCCCAGCTGACTTGTGTGAGTGCTGAGCCCTGGATTGCAGATCCACCTCTGCACACACAAGTACAGCTTCTCTCTCCCCAAGCACAGCCACTGCCCCTCCAACTCCAGGGGAGCCAGTGGCTCCTCAGGGCCTTCTGTAGTTCCTTCCCATTCCTGGAATGATCCAAGCCCTCTGAGGCGACCTGGCCTTGGAGGCCAGTGGTCATACACGCACTACTCACAGCATGGCAGTGGTCTGACTTGGTGGATAAAAGCAGGAGGCAGCTCCTACCCCACTAAGAACTGCTGGGGAAGGCAATCTTTTTAGTGAGGTGTCTTTATTACTACCATGCACTCTGACCTGTAGGTTCAGCCCTCCAAAGCAAGACCCTGCCTTGCACGGCTGCTGGTTGGGATATTGCGTAGAGCTGAGGGAGTCCTGGAAAGCTGTTCCCCACAAGAGTGCTGGACAAAAGCCTTGCCACAGCACCACATCTCGGGTGTGTTTTCTCTGCCTGTAGATCAACTTGATTTGCTGCATTAGTAAAAATAGATGGGCTAATGAATTCAGCTGATGCAACCCTCTGTGTGTGTGTGCGTGCATGCGCTCCTCTCTGTTTGTGTGTGGATGTGTGCGTGTATGTGTGCAGCTGAATGCCAAGGCTCACATCAGGTGCATCCGCCAGCTCCTGGGGCTCTGACGAGGTGACTCTGTGTGTGTGTGTGTGTGTGTGTGTGTGCAGGAAGCCATGAGTGATGGCTGCTTGCTGCCGAGCAGCTCTGTCACGGAAGCAGTGGCTCTACAGAAAGAATCTTGTATCAGGTTTGGATTGTGGCAGGGCCATAACAAGGCTTTGCAGCAAGAGAGAGGACTGTGGGGCCACATCAAGGATCTCACCGGGACCTGAAGGGCAATGGTGGGTCCGCACAGGGACCTGGTGGGGAATGGCGGACCCTCGCAGGGGGCCGCTGGGGCGGAGGGGTCCCGCACGGACACGTTTGCGGGGTGCCCTGCTGGGGTGCCGCGGCCCCGAGGCACAGTACAGCTGTTCACGGCGCTGAAAGCGGTCGCTGTCCGCGGTGCTTAACTCGGCCCGGCCGCTGTCTGTGGTGCTGAACCTTTCAGTCCGGCCAGCAGGGCAGACCGGTTCGCATTCTCTGGCCAGTCGGTTTCATCTGCCACAGCCCAGGGTCTCCCAGCGAACACCCTCACAGGGGTGGCACGAACAGTGTGACTGGTTATCCTGCCTCTTTCTTGAGGCCCTCATTCCTCTTCAACGCTACACGGGGATGGTAAACTCACCAACAGCTTGGGCAAGCACTGTCTTCCCAGCAGCTTTCATCCTATTCTTCCCAGCATCTTCATTGTCTGTGCAATGTTTGTAGTGACAGGCTCTTCGACCCTCTTCTTTCTTCTCTCTTCCTGCGTCAAATCCGCCCCCCACCACTGCACCATTGCTCATTGTGGATGACAAAACCTGTATGAATGGACTGACTTCTGTGGCAATGACGTTTTCTGTGAAATGTGCTCCCTGGAGTGAATTTGGAAGACTGAAAGACTTTGCCCTTTGCTTTTGTCAGGGTTCCTCCCACCGTGGATTGGGAGCTAGCACTCCACTGCTGGCAGGTGCTTCCCCCGTGAGCTGTGGCCTGTGAGAGCTGCAGGGAGCATCTGGGGAGAGCATGCAAAGCTGGGCCCTTCCTGTGGAATCCCAGAGTAAAGATGGTTGTACCAAGTGCTGACCTATCCTGATGATGTTGTGGTTGGCCCAGTCATGCAACCTGCAAACAGTGAGTTATGGTGTGAGGAAGAAAGGCCAAATTTCTGCTCTCCTGCACTTTTGGGGTGACCAAAAAGCATATGGGGGAGCTCATGGAAATGCCTGAACATCAGGTGGGCTCAGTAGTGAGATCTCCAAGGCATACAGTTTTGTATTTCCCTCCCCCTCTGCTGTTTCAGTGGTTTGGAGTGAGGTCTTGGGGCAGGGCAGAACGTGTGCTGGGTATCCCAGCATAGAGCAGCTCTGGTCTCCATGGGATGTGGTACTTGCGGTTTGTACATTGGAGTGATGTGGCCTGCAGGAACCTGGGGCTGCAGGCAAGGGCTTTCCTGCAGCAGTAGCAGGCAGATCCCAGCGCTGCTCCATGGTGCCAGAGACAGAGGAGACAGTGGAGAACCACTCCCCACCTTCTCTCAGACCACCTTCTCCAAGCTGAGGTCTTCCCCCCCCACCCCGCCCCCAGCACAGTCCTGCTCCTTTTGGGGTAGTAGGAATCCCCAGAACCTTGCCTGCCCATTTCCCATGCCATGTAGAGCCTTCCTGTGCTCAGAAGCCCTGAATCCCTGTCTGTCTATTTGAAGTGACTTCCCAGCTCACTCACAGTTGAGGGTTTCTGTGAGCCAGACAGGCGGCCCCAGTGCCTGGGGCAGGGGGACCTGGCTCAGCTTTCCAAGGCAGGACAGGAAAGCTGCTGAATCCCCCCTGAACGCGGCCTCAGGGACCAGCCGAGCTCTGAGCTGGTTGGAACCATTGCCAACACCTCCCGCTGGCTGCATTTCAGACCGGCGACTTGTCAGCATCTGTCTCCTCCCATGAGTGTCCTCCGGGGCTCCCGAGGCCCCGGGCTGCCCTTGTGCCACCACCTGCCCTCTCCCCTGGGGACAACCAGTGTGCTGAACGGGTCTGGCTGTGGGCTCCATGCTGGAGCGACAGCCTTCCCGTGCCGCCTGGTAATTATCTGTTTGGATTTGTGCTGTGTGGCGGTGTTAGACACCCTGGTGCATGTTCTGTTTGCTTCTGTAATTGCTGCCAAGCACCGAGCTGCTGGTTTTAAGTTTCTTCCTTCTTTCCCCTCCTCTTCTCCTGCTTTCAAGAGAATTTAACACATGTCCAAGCGTCAGAGGCCCAGCTCTTCTGTTGGGCAGAGTGAGCAGAGGCAGCAGAGGCTGCATCCGAGTGGGGAGCGGCGCCAGACTGTCTGCACAGGGCCGGGATCATCCCCAGAGGCCACCAGGCCGGGCTGTCTGCCACTCACACTAACGGAGAGGCTTCGGCAGCTCCCACCAGCCCTCTCCCACAGCCCTGTCCTGATATCCCCAAGAGATGCCATGTTCCACACATCCCATGGGGTTTTCTGGCTGAGCCAAGAATTTCGTAGTGCCTTTTGGGTGCCTGATTCCACACCACACACACACCCTGCCCTGGCTGACCCAGGAGGGCTGTGAGGGGGCTGTGAGGGTGAAAGTGATGGGCTGGGGGCAGCAAGGATCTAGGCTGCACCCCAATTAGGAGCCACCCCCCACCCTCCCCAGGCTGAATGGAGCATCCAGAGAGCCCATGGACCTGGGCTATGAGCATCACCAGCTGGGACACTCCGCCCTCAGTGCCCCTCCATCAGGGCCTGGCCATCTCCATCCCAAATCAAGTGGTTAAAAGTTATTCTCTCACTTTTGGCTTGCTCTGGGGTAAGCTGGCAATGGAAGGAGTCCTCAGGTCACATTAGACACGTCCGGATGATATGCCAGCCATCCCTTGGGACTTGGGAACCATGTTCCTGTCTCCTGGTCTCTGGGCTGGAAGCCGCTTTTGCTGGGCTCCAGCTCTTCCCCAGGCACCAGATGGGGCAGGAGGGGGGGGCAAGCCCCCATCAATTATTCACCTCTGTATTTATAGAGGGCAATGTGTTGAATAATGTATGGTGGGTGTGGAGGGCGCTGAAAGCCGGGCACTGCCACTGCAATATTTATTGGCCTGGTTTGCTGGAGCCGCCTGACTGCCACGGGGCTCAACAGGGCTATGGCAGGCATGGCCCCACTGCCCAGTGCCTGGCTGGCACAGTGAGCATGGGCAGCTCTGCCACCACCATTGCCTTCTCTGCCCTCCACAGAGATGCTGCAAGGGCTGGAGCAGCTCTGCTCTGGAGCCAGGCTGAGAGAGCTGGGCTGGGTCAGCCTGGAGAAAAGAAGGATCCTTAAGGGGAGATCTTAAAGCTGCTCCCAGTGCCTAAAGGGGCTACAAGAAACCTGGAGAAGGGCTTTGGACAAGGGCCTGTAGGGACAGGACAAGGGGGAATGGCTTTAACCTGACAGAGGGGAGACTGAGATGAGCTCTTAGGCAGAAGCTCTTCCCTGTGAGGGTGCTGAGGCGCTGGCACAGGGTGCCCAGAGAAGCTGTGGCTGCCCCATCCCTGGCAGTGTTCAAGGCCGGGTTGGATGGGGCTTGGAGCAACCTGGTCTGGTAGAAGGTGTCCCTGCCTTTGGCAAGGGATTGGAACTGGATGTGCTTTAAGGTCCCTTCCAATCCAAACTATTCCGTGATTCTATGATCCTGTGCCATCTGCCACTGGTTGCTGGAGCCCAGGCTCTGAGATGGATGGGAATTTCTGGGGATAAATACCCATCCACCCCCATTATGGGGGACACCAGGGCCATGCAGCTTCCTGGAGGATCCCACTCAGGGCCCAGCAGCCCTGCACTGTCTGCTCCCCTGTGCACTCTGCACAGGGACCTCCAGGGTGTCCCTCCCTGCTGGTGCCATGGCGTCCCCCAGCTCTGCCCACTCCTCCTGCTTGCTCTCCCTGCCAGACCAGCAGCCTCTCAGCCCTCATCCCTGTGTTGCAGAGAGACCTGTGGAAGATGTCGAACCCGAGAAACGGCGACACCAAGCCCCCATGTTTGCCCCGCAATGGACTGGTGAAGATCCCCACGCAACCCAACGGCCTCGGCTCCGCCAGCATCACCAAAGGCACCCCCGCTGTCAAAAACCGCCTGTGCCAGCCTTCCTCCGTGCCTGCCATCCTCAGCCCGGCCTTAGCGCACCGCAGCGACCTGCCCATCCCCAGCCTGGCCTCCCCGCTCTCCTTGGCCACTCTGGCCGGCGTCTCCTCCCCTCCCGGCGCTTCCTTGGTGGGACTGAACACGAGCGAAGGCTCGGAGCAGCCCTCTCCGGAGCGGCTGCCCGGCTCGCCCTCGGAGAGGCAGCTGGCGGTGGACGAGAAGATCCTCAACCGCTTGTTCTGGTACTTTTCGGCGTGCGAGAAGTGTGTGCTGGCTCAGGTGTGCAAGGCATGGCGGCGCGTGCTCTACCAGCCCAAGTTCTGGGTGGGCTTGACGCCTGTCCTGCACACCAAAGAGCTCTACAATGTCCTGCCTGGTGGGGAGAAGGAGTTTGTCAGCCTGCAGGGCTTCGCCGTCCGTGGCTTCGAAGGCTTCTGCCTCGTGGGTGTCTCTGACCTGGACATTTGTGAGTTCATTGACAACTACCCCCTCTCCAAGAAGGGGGTCAAGTCCATGAGCCTTAAGAGGTCGACCATCACGGATGCGGGGCTGGAGGTAGGTGACCCCACTGTGGTGACCAGGGTGGCTGAGATGTGGCAATGGTGGGTACTTCTAGTGGCCCTGGGGACACATGCATGGGCAGAGCTTTCACCAGCCACAGGCATGGAGCAGGAAGGTGTCATGGCCATCCCATCCACAGCAGCATTGCAGGCAGGCAACACTGGGAGTCCCTGAATGTGGTCAGGGCAGTGGGGTGGGCTGCAGCCTGTGCTGTGGTCGCGGGCATGGGGTGAGGATGCATTCAGGGAGGGTTCATCCCTGCTGCCCACTGATTCTTCCTGCACATGCTGCTGGGAAAGCAAAGCCAGATGAGGTGGCCATGACACTGGGCGACGGATGTGGCAGTGGGCAATGAGCTGGATGCTGGGGACAGGGACATCCCTCCTGGCTGGCTGTGGGGAGGACATGCAGGCAGGGGGCTGTGGTTCAGGTGGAGATGGGGCAACTCGTGGTCCTGCACAGAGCCAAGCAACATCTCCACAGAGGTCCCCTGCCCTGCAACATGGCCTCACACAGCATCAGCTGCTCCGTGGCTACATCCTACCCAAGCGTTGCCCATGCTGGGAGTGTGGTTAATCCTTCCCCTGTCTACACCATGTACAGAGCAGGGGCCGCGGCCAGGGATTCCTGCCTGTCCCCTCCCATTCCCCACCAATGCGGGTATCGAATCAGAATAGTTTGGGTTGGAAGGGACCTTCAAAGGTCATTTAGTCCAGCCCCCCATGTCCTAGAGCAGGACACTGCTCCCGCACCAGGGCAGTCCCACTGCAAAGGCTGGACCCAGTCAAGGCTGGTGACAGTGGAAAGGCTCAAAGGGAGCCAGTGTTGCACAGGGTGACAGCAGTGCCCAGCATGCACTGACTCTCTGCCCCTTGCAGGTGATGCTGGAGCAGATGCAAGGTGTGGTGCGGCTGGAGCTGTCGGGCTGCAACGACTTCACGGAGGCCGGGCTGTGGTCCAGCCTCAATGCCCGCATCACAGCGCTGAGCGTCAGCGACTGCATCAACGTGGCCGACGACGCCATCGCCGCCATCTCGCAGCTCCTGCCCAACCTCACCGAGCTCAACCTGCAAGCCTACCACGTCACGGACACGGCGCTCGCCTACTTCACCGCCAAGCAAGGCTACACCACCCACACCCTGCGCCTCAACTCCTGCTGGGAGATCACCAACCACGGCGTGGTCAACATGGTCCACAGCCTGCCCAACCTGAGCGTCCTCAGCCTCTCAGGCTGCTCCAAGGTGACTGATGACGGCGTGGAACTGGTGGCCGAGAACCTGCGGAAGCTGCGCAGCCTTGACCTCTCTTGGTGCCCTCGGATCACTGACATGGCCCTGGAGTACATCGCCTGCGACCTGCACAAGCTGGAGGAGCTGGTGCTCGACAGGTATGGTGCTGTGCTGGCCTGTGCTGTGCCATGCCAACCTTTGCCATGCTGTGCCCCATCAAGCCATGCCATGCCATGCCATGCTGCATCATGCTGAGCCATGCCATGCCACGCCAAGCCATGCTGTACCATGTCAAGCCATGCCATGCCATGCCATGCTGCATCATGTTGAGCCATGACAAGCCATGCCGTGCCATGCTGGATGCAATGGGTGCAACGTGGGGCTATGGTCAGGGGACACCCATGGGTGCCCTGCTCCCGACCAGCCCTGTCACCCTGTGTCCCATCAGGTGCGTGCGGATCACCGACACCGGCCTCAGCTACCTGTCCACCATGTCGTCCCTACGGAGCCTCTACCTGCGCTGGTGCTGCCAGGTAGGTGGGGGACACAGCTGCGCCTGTCCTGGTTGGCATGGCGGGGAGGTCAGAGTGGCTGGCACTGGCCTGGGGACAGACCACGAGTTCAGGATGGGTGCCCTGCACCAGCTGGGGCCCTCATGACTTGGTGTTGGGAAGTGGGGTTCTCCTGTGAGCTCAGCAGCAATCAGCCCCAGCACCCAGCTCCTTACCCCCTGCCCCAGCATCCCGCACCCTGCTCAGGCTCCCTGCCCCAGCACCCAGCATCCTGCCTTAGCACTGCTGAGCCCCCATGGTGGCTGCCCCCCATTTGTCCCCCCCCCCCATTCCCACTCTGTTTTCTTTTCCAGGTGCAGGATTTCGGCCTGAAGCATCTTCTGAGCATGGGCAGCCTGCGCCTCCTCTCTCTGGCTGGTGAGATCCTTTCCCTTGCTTCCCTGGGAATGGGGTGGCCAGGACCCCGTGGGGCTGGGGAGACACTGGATGTGGGGACAGCCTTGGGATACCTTGCGGGACAGCCAGCTTCCTCCCAGGCATCCTCCCTGTGGATGGGTCCACAACAGGGCTCTTGGGGTGCTGGTTTATTTGGGTGCTGGTGTTTTGGGGGTGACAGTGCACATTGTCCCCTTGCAGGCTGCCCCTTGCTGACCACCACAGGGCTGTCAGGGCTGGTGCAGCTGCAGGAGCTGGAGGAGCTGGAGCTGACCAACTGCCCCGGCGCCACCCCGGAGCTCTTCAAGTACTTCTCCCAGCACCTCCCGTGCTGCATGGTGATCGAGTAGTGCTGGCCCCTGCTGCCCCGCTCCCGCTGCCGCCCCATCTGACATCACCCATCCCCTTTTCTTTCCGTCTGTTTGGGGATGCAAAAGACACTGTTGAATACAACCAACCCCGGACATCCCCTGCATTGACACCCCGAGGGACGTGCGGCTCCGCAGGGACATGAGGACAGTGTCACCCCTTGCCAGAGCCCCCCCGGTCACCCTGTAAATTCTCCCACACTGCCAACATCGCCCGTCCTTCACCCAGTGTCCTGCCAATCCCTTCTGGACAGACAAATGGACATCATGGAAACCCAAAGTGGGAAGGCAACAGTGGTGTTACCCCCTCTGGCCGCATCCTGCTCCCCCTCTGCCCCAGGGCCATATGGGTGCATGGCCCTGCCACCAAGGATGCTCTTGGGGACCAAAGAATGCTCCCAGGGATGGGCGAGAGGAGGACGCTTATTTTTGGCACCCATGGGTAGCGGTGGAGGCTGGATAGGTCCCCTTGCATTCCCGGAGTGGGTCACTGAGCCACCCCCCCTTGTGCTGCGTGTCCCCCCCCCGAGCCCCCAGTCCTGCACCTGGGATGCCCGGCGCTTTCTCCTGGTGAATAGGATGTTTCTCTGCGCCCGCCCGCTGCCCTCGCATGCTCGCTTGCTTCATTCTTGTGCTACAGCAGGCTCTGGGGTACCCGGGGGGATGGTTACAAGTGGCAGCCTCCACTTGGCTCTTTCATATGGCTTCAACGCGGCCAGATCCTGCTTCTGGGTTCCCCTGGTTCCCCCCTCGCCTTTGGGATGCCGCTGCACCCTGGTTTATGTGGGGTTGGTGGGGTTACATCGACGCCGACGAGTGACCCATCCGGCTGGCATGGCGCATCCAGGGGACCGGGGCCAGCTCTGAGCCACCGCGGAGACACTGGCAGCGCGGAGCAGAGGTGGAAGGCGGTATTTGGGACACGCTGCCACCACCAGCACGCTTCCAGCTGGAAAGCCATCACCCGACGCCGGCAGCAAGCGGGGAACAGAGGATGAGCAGAGCACGGGCACGGGGCTGGGGTGACCACGGGGACCTGGCGCGGGACGGGGCTCGGTGGCCGTCCCTGCTGCCACACCGGCTGCCTGCACGGACATGGACACGGGCACGGGCACGGGCACGGACACGCTTTCGGTTTGTTTTGCCTTTGTACCGGCCGGGAAGGAACTGCTGCACCAACCACCGCCTCCGCTGCCTCCTTTGTCCAAAATGCCCTTTTCTGGCCCCAAAATGGTGCAAGGATCCTCTTGGCCTTGGAATAGGGTTTGGGGTGCATCTGGAGCAACCGAGGCTGTGGGGCAGGGAGCAGCCTGCAACCCCAAAACCCACCGGTGCCCGTAGGACATGGGTGTGAGGGGCTGGGGACGGGGCTGTGGCACACGGAGGGTCCCCCTACGGAGGGGGAAAGAGCAGCAGGGGACAGCTGCAGTTGGGGGGTGTTGTCAGCCTTGCTCACCCCCACGGTCCCACACCCCCAGAACAGGCACAGTGCTGGGGCTCTGGTGTCCCCATACCCCCCTCTGCAGCCCCCCATGGCAATGGACCCACATACGCCCCCTCACCCCCCTTGCACCCTCAACCCCTGCACACCCACACGTCAGTGTAGCCCTGGAACTGCCTGCATATCAGCCTCCCATGTACCCCTAAACCTTCGTGTACCTCCATACCCCAAAGCTCCTCCAACCCCTAAGCAGCCCCACACCTCAGTGCAAGTCCATATCCCCCCAGTGTATCTCTGCATCCCCAATGTACCCCATATCCCTTTGACACCCTCATTCCCCTCCGTGTACCCCCACCCCAATGCACTCCGTATTCCCCCGACACCCCCATTGTCCCTCTGCACACCCACACCCAATTCATCCCATATCTCCCAGGCACCCCCATTCCCCCACTGCACTCTCACCCAAACGCACCCCATACCCTCTTGACACTCCCCTTCTCTCCACGGTACCTCCAAACACTGCAGTCCACGTCCCCCTGACATCCCCACCCCAGTTCTCCCCGTATGTCCCCCTGACACCCCCATACCCCTCAGCACCCCCACTTCCCCCCGCATCCCCCCAATTTACCCTGTTCCCCCCGCACCCCCCGTCCCGCTCCCCCCAGTTCAGAGCCGGGGGACAGGGTCCGAATTACGGGCGGGGCTTGGGACGGGGTGCGCGCGCGCCCCCCGGCGGAAGGGGGCGTGGCCCGGCGGAAGGGGGCGCGAACCGGCGGAAGGGGGCGTGGCCCGACGGAAGGGGGCGTGGCCCGGCGGAAGGGGGCGTGTCGCGGCGCCTGTTTCCGTGTCGGCGGCGGTGTCTGCTGGGGCCGAGCACCGGTACGGCAGTGGGGGGCTCTGAGGGCACCGAGCAGGGCCTGAGGAGGCTCTGAGGGCTCCGAGCGGTGGCAGAGGACCCGGAATAGGCTCTGAGAGCTCTGAAGGGGCCCTGAGGGGGCTGTGGGGCAGGATCGGGCTATGAGGGTGCCCTGAGTGCCAAGAGGAGCCCTTAAGAGGCTCTGAGCACGCTGGAGGGGGTCCTGAGGAGGCCTTGAGGTGGCTGTGGGTCAGGGGCGGGCCCTGAGGAGGGGGAATGTGGGCTCAGGGGAGCTGCGGGGAGGAAAGTGCAATGCCAGGGCAGGGGCTCAGCCTGGCTCGAGGGGGGTTGGCTTGTGGTAGCCTTTGGGCATCCCAGAGCAGCTGCCCAGCGCCCCGGCTCGCTCCGGTGCCCAGGGGGAGCTGCTGGCCCCTCTGCTAGCAAGCAGGGTAAGCCCCTCTGCCTCCTGCAGCGGCTTGGGGCACAAGGAACGCCTCATGGAGATGACTCAACCTCCTGTTGGGGACTCTGCTCACCTTCAGCCCACGACACTGCAGTCGACATCCTGTAGTGTCACCAGCAGCCACTGAAGTAAGGAGGGAACCAGGAACCCAGGAAGGGTTTCAAGAACTCTCTGGGAGGGAGTTACAGAAGGCAGCAGGAGGAGAAGCCCAGTGTGGGGCCATATCTCTGTTCCCACAGGTCTCAGCCGGGCTTTAGCCTCTTACCTCCTGTTGATGTGGCTACAAAAAGCTGTGGTTAGAGCTGCCTGGTCCTGCCAGGAGCTGCAGGAGCCGAGCCTGTCCCTTCCCAGCTCTGGCGGAGGTGGAGCAGGGCAGCCGTGCGGGCGTGAATGCAGCCAGTGAGGACACAAGCCTCCGAGCCAGCTCCTGGAGAGGGGAGTGCGCCCCAAGGACAGCCATGGAGAAGATGGCCAGGGTCACCACGGCCCTGGGGGGCAGTGCCCTGACGGGCCGTACCATGTTCTGTCACCTGGACGCCCCTGCCAATGCCATCAGCGTGTGCCGCGATGCTGCCCAAGTGGTGGTGGCCGGCCGCAACATCTTCAAGATCTACTCCATCGAGGAGGAGCAGTTTGTGGAGAAGCTGAACCTCCGCGTCGGCCGCAAACCCTCCCTGAACTTCAGCTGCGCCGACGTGGTGTGGCACCAGATGGACGAGAACCTGCTGGCCACTGCTGCCACCAATGGCGTGGTGGTCACCTGGAACCTGGGAAAGCCGTCCCGCAACAAGCAGGACCAGCTCTTCACAGAGCACAAGCGCACCGTCAACAAGGTCTGCTTCCATCCCACCGAGGTCTACATGCTCCTCAGTGGCTCCCAGGATGGCTACATGAAGTGCTTCGACCTGCGCAAGAAGGACTCTGTCAGCACCTTCTCTGGTAGGAACATGGGCTGTTATTTGCCCCCTTACTCTGTTGAGAGGCAGAGGTTGTGGCTTTGCCCTTTCCCTGTGCCCAGGGGGAGGCTTTGCTCAGGAGTGGATGTCTGGAGCAGGCAGGGAGGAGCTTTTTGGCAGGTTTTTTTCAGCCTTCTGGTGCCTAAAGGGGCTACAAGAAAGCTGGAGAGGGGCTTTGGACAAGGGCCTGTAGGGACAGGACAAGGGGGAATGGCTTTAACCTGACAGAGGGGAGACTGAGATGAGCTCTTAGGCAGAAGCTCTTCCCTGTGAGGGTGCTGAGGCGCTGGCACAGGGTGCCCAGAGAAGCTGTGGCTGCCCCATCCCTGGCAGTGTTCAAGGCCAGGTTGGATGGGGCTTGGAGCAACCTTGTCTAGTGGAAGGTGTCCCTGCCTGTGGCAGGCGGTTGGAACTGGATCAGCTTTAAGGTCTCTTCCAACCCAAACTATTCCATGATTGTGACAGTTTTGGCTGCTCAGTGGGCTGGCTCTGCAGGGAGGTTGAAGGTGGCCGCATCACTCCCTGCTTCCTCTCCTCCCTGGGCGGGGGACCCCCATGGCTCTTCCAGTGGCGTTTTTAGCCTTGCTGAAGCATGTCCCAGCACTCCTCACGCTCTCTGTCCCCTCAGGCCAGTCGGAGAGTGTGCGGGACGTGCAGTTCAGCATCCGGGACTACTTTACCTTTGCTGCCACCTTTGAGAACGGGAACGTGCAGCTGTGGGACATCCGCCGGCCCGACCGCTATGAGAGGATGTTCACCGCCCACAATGGACCTGTCTTCTGCTGCGACTGGCACCCGGAGGACCGGTTTGTGTGGGGGTGGGCCCTGCCAGCTCCCTGGCCTCAGGACAGGCGAGGGAGGCCCTAAAAATGGGGTTGGGGACAAAGCAGGGTCTCTTGATACCCTGCCCCCTTGTGTCAGGGGCTGGGCTGTTGATGGATGATGGAAGCAATGATTGCTTTGAGGATTTGGGGTGGAGGGGCTGGCAGAGTGTTGGGGTGTTTTGGCTTTTTTTTTTGACAAATTGGGCACTTCTGAGGCCCTGGATGGAGCTCAGAATGGTCGGGAATAGCAAGCTGCTGGTTTGCCCCCGGCCAGGGCAGGCTTTTGCTTGGGTGCTGGGTCTGGGGGGAGCACTGTGTGGCTGCTCTGGGACACGGCTTCCTTGTGTTTGGTCAGGCCTTGCTTGTGTCTGATCATGTTTCCCTCCTGCCTTTGCCTGGAGGTAATTGGGGGGTGTGTGGAAATAGCTGTTGTGGTACCTGGGTCCCTCCTTGCTCCCTGTCATGCAGTGCTGCAACTCCTCATGAGCTTAGAGAGGCCCTGAAGTCTGTTCATAACTGGACCTTTTCCCTATCTGTTGGCCCTGGCAAGTGGAAATCAGGGGTAGCGCGAGCTGGTCTGGCTGGGAGCCCTTCAGATGAGCGTGGCTCAAAGATGCAGGGCCTTAAATGGGGCCAGGAAGGAGAGGTGTTGCCTGACCTGGTTGTTGGAGAGTGGAGGTGTTAGGGCAGCACGTGAGAGGAACAATCCCTTGGCATATCTGTGTTGTGAGTGTTCCTGTGCCACTGTGGGAAAGAAGAGATGAACGAGCACAGATCCTGGCCCAAGCTAGCATCTAACCGTCTTTCCTCCATCCGTCTTCAGGGGTTGGCTAGCAACAGGCGGACGGGATAAGATGGTGAAGGTGTGGGACATGAACACTACACGGGCGAAGGAGATCTACTGTGTGCAGACCATCGCCTCGGTGGCACGGGTGAAGTGGCGCCCAGAGTGCAAACACCACATTGCCACGTGCTCCATGATGGTGGACCACAACATCTACGTCTGGGATGTGCGGCGGCCCTTCATCCCCTCCGCCATGTTCGAGGAGCACAAGGACGTCACCACGGGCATCGTGTGGCGTCACCTCCATGACCCATACTTCCTCCTGTCGGGCTCTAAGGACAGCACCCTCTACCAGCACATATTCAAGGACGCCAGCCAGCCCATTGACAGGGCCAACCCTGAGGGGCTATGCTACAGCCTCTACGGGGACCTGGCCTTCGCCGCCAAGGAGAGCCTCATCTCTTCCGACTCCAACCGCAAGCCCTACATTGGCGACCGGCGGCACCCCATCTTCTTCAAGCGCAAGCTGGACCCCACGGAGCAGTTTGAGTACATCTCCTCCTCCAGTGCCCTCAGTGTCTTTGAGACAGACGTGGAGAGCGGCAGCATGGACTGGTTTGTGCACACAGCCAAGCAGTATGCGCTGGCCGGCCGGCCCCTGCCCGAGCTCTGCGACCACAATGCCAAGGTGGCCAAGGGCTTGGACCGCAACCAGGTGAGGCCAGGGCTGCAGGCTCTCCTTTGAGACCAGGGCTGGTGCTGAGGTTGAAGGGTGCTCAACCCGAGCTCGGTGGCAGCTCCATGACCTCTGCCTGGCACCAAACCTGCCGCCTACAACAAGCGTACATCATTGCTCGAAGTACTGAGCCGCCCACAAGCCTGTCCAGCTTTAGAGTTTGCTGTCAGGCACATGGCTACACAGGGTTTGTACTTGTCAGGGTCTGACTCCAGCTGTCTTATGCAGGTGGCTCAAACTTGGACAATGCTGCGCATTATCTACTCCAGCCTCGGCACCGTGTCATCCACCAACCTCAACCACAGCATGGGGAAGGGCAGCACTACCCTCCCCCTAATGAACAGGTAACAGGGGGGTTGGAGTTGCAGCCAGCCCTGGGGTGGCAGCAGGGACACTCTCCCCAGGCTCAGGTCATCCTGGTTTGCAGGTTGGCATCGTTTGAATGCAGCCCATTCTCCACGTGGGAGTGAGAAGTGATGGCCAGCCCAGGCCTGAGCCCTGCAGCGTTGTGCTCTGCTCCCTTTCTTACTTAAACAAAGCTTGGAGCTGTAGTGGGGTGTGGGACTGAAACCAGCTTTGTGGTTACTTCATTAGTGACCGTGGCAGGGCTGGGGATGGATAAACTGTCTCACTGCTGTCGTGGAGAGGTTGTCTTCTGGCTTTCAAAGGGAGAGGAAAGCTCTGTGAGCTGCTCTCTGGCATGGAGAGCCCCACTGTGGGCTGATGAAGCAGGAAGACTTGTTTTTCTTCTTCTTGAAAGTGAGGGGTGAGGACTCCATGTTAGCTGTCAGGCCTTTCAGGGCCAGGTTCCCCGGGTGAGTAGCAAATCCTCAAGTAACATCAAAGGAAATGCTCTCCTTGGCCCAGCCCTGCATCTAGCAAGTTCCTGTCTGTCCCTGACTTCAACACTGCAGGCAGCACACTGAAGATCTCAGCTGTCCTTCAGCCCCATTCCCTTCCATGACTGAGCAAGTCCAGAAGAGGCCACAGAGATGCTGCAAGGGCTGGAGCAGCTCTGCTCTGGAGCCAGGCTGAGAGAGCTGGGCTGGTTCAGCCTGGAGAAGAGAAGGATCCTTAAGGGGAGACCTTAGAGCAGCTCCAGTGCCTGAAGGGGCTACAGGAAACCTGGAGAGGGGCTTTGGACAAGGGCCTGTAGGGACAGGACAAGGGGGAATGGCTTTAACCTGACAGAGGGGAGACTGAGATGAGCTCTTAGGCAGAAGCTCTTCCCTGTGAGGGTGCTGAGGCGCTGGCACAGGGTGCCCAGAGAAGCTGTGGCTGCCCCATCCCTGGCAGTGTTCAAGGCCAGGTTGAACGGGGCTTGGAGCAACCTGGTCTGGTGGAAGGTGTCCCTGCCCATGGGAGGGGGTTGCAACTGAATGAGCTTTAAGGTCCCTTCCCACCCAAACCATTCCATGATTCCTTCTCTCTGTCTGTGAAGGTGGGGAGCATTGGTGCTTTGAAAACAGCAAAGCATCTTGTAGCAAGGCAGCTCCTGAACCTGCCTCTGAGGTGAAGGTATATGTTAAAAGAGGGAGTCAAGAGCCTGTGCTGAGCTCACAAACCTTCAGAAAGATGCCAAGCGGGGCAGCTGACTTCTGTACTCTTGGGGAAATTGCCCTATCTGGGGTTTCACCATTCAAGTTGCAACTGGAGACCTCTATCCAGGCTGTTTGCTGGCTAGAAGCTTGCTGTAAACTTCTGTGACTGAAATTTGGCTTCTTTCTCAGCTTTAACCTGAAGGATATCCCCTCTGGGCTGGGCAGCGAGTCCAGACTGGACCGTAGCAAAGGAGAAAGCCGCTCGGAAAACATCCTCATGGATTCCTCCTCCACCCTGATGAACAATGAGGGTAATGTTCATGGGGCAGGGGCAGTCCGGGTCCTACAGCTCTTCCCTCCTTAGCTGTAGATATACGACAAACCAGTGAATTTACCCTGCGCATTGTGGGGCTTAGACCTGCTGCAGCCCCCACATGCAGCATGTGAACCTGGAGTGCTGCAGACAGGCAATTTGCCCCTGTGGGCCCTGTGGTGATGGCTGCAGAGCCAGGAACGTGACCATGGTATGGAGCTCGGACACAGACCCGCACATGGGGCAGTACACGAGGGAGCATGCTTCTGACAACGGCCTGTAGGGACAGGACAAGGAGAAAGCTTTAACCTGACAGAGGAGAGAGATCGAGATGAGCTCTTAGGCAGAAGCCTTTCCCTGTGAGGGTGCTGAGGCGCTGGCACAGGGTGCCCAGAGAAGCTGTGGCTGCCCCTTCCCTGGCAGTGGGGTTGGAACTGGATGAGCTTTAAGGTCCCTTCCAACACAAACCATTCAGTGATTCTATGATCCAGCCATGCATCCAAGGGGGGGGGGGGGGGGAATTAGCTGATTTCTCTCTCCCTCATCACACAGACAACGAGGAGACGGAGGGCAGTGATGTCCCTGCAGACTACCTGCTGGGAGATGTGGAGGCGGATGAGGATGACCTGTATATGATGGACCATGAGAACCCACACGGTGAGTGCACAGCGGGTGCTGGGAGGTGTTCCCTGGACCAGGCAGGGAACTGGCCTTCCCTTCTCATTTCTGAAACTCCTTACAGCTGAAGAGCAGGAATACAGCCTTCCCCAGGAAGCCTTCCCCCTCCGCCATGAGATCGTGGACAACCCATCGGCCTTGGACCACCTGCAGGACAAGGCTGACTCACCTCACGTCAGCGGCAACGAGGCTGAGACAGTGTCGCTGACCCCTGTGGAGTCCTTCTCCCTAATCTCCATCTCCCACTCACTGTATGAGAACCGCCTGCCCTCAGACTTCTTCAACCCCATCGTGCGGGACACACTCCTCTTCTATGCCGAGCAGGGGGACGTGCAGACGGCCGTGTCTGTCCTCATTGTGCTGGGGGATCGCATCCGCAAGGAGATCGATGAGCAGACACAGGTACATCTGGGGAATCCCCTTCCTGGCTGTGTCAGAACTGAGCCTTCCTTCCAGGGAAATTGGTGTGATTGTGAGGTGGCTCTGTGGTGGGACCCAGGGGTGGTGTATCCCAATGGGGTGGGATCCTGCCTGGCCTCTGGGCACCTCCCTTCTCCTCCAAGCTGGCTCTAACCTTGGGTGGGCAGCTTCAGGACTCCAGCAGGGACCCAAGGGGCTGTCGGCAGGGGGATGTGGCCTTGGCCTGTTGATTTGGGGAAGGATGCCTCTTCCCATCCCCACAGAGCATTTCCTCCCTTCCCTTTGGGATGCAAGGCTTGAGTCCTCAGGAGGTTCTGGGGAGTTGTCAAGGCTTGGATGTGTGCAATCATCCCCAGGAGCACTGGTACACGTCCTACATCGACCTGCTGCAGCGCTTCCAGCTCTGGAACATCTCCAACGAGGTGATCAAACTGAGCACGTGCCGTGCCATCAACTGCCTCAACCAGGCGTCCACGACCCTGCACATCAACTGCAGCAACTGCAAGCGGCCCATGAGCAACAGGGGCTGGATCTGTGATCGGTGAGGGCAGGGAGGTAGGGATCTCCAAGGGGAGGCCCAGGGAGGCAGGAAGATGGTGTAGGTTCCTCCTGCTCCCTGGTGTTGCCCTCCCCAGGGCTGCCCCACCCATACTCCCCGCTCTGCCCATGCAGATGCCGGCAGTGTGCCAGTATGTGTGCCGTCTGCCACCACGTCGTGAAGGGGCTCTTCGTGTGGTGCCAGGGCTGCAGCCACGGCGGACACCTCCAGCACATCATGAAGTGGCTGGAGACCAGCTCCCACTGCCCTGCGGGCTGTGGCCACCTCTGCGAATACACCTGAGCAGCACTGCCCGGCCGGGGAGGCTGCGGGCAGGCGGGCACAGCTGCCTGCCCCGTGCCTCCCTCTGGTATTTATTGTGTGTAAATAGGGGCCCTGTGTGTGGCCAGCTCCCTGGCCGGCACTTTTGTACTGAATTAAAAGAAAACACCAGCTGAACTGAGCTCTGCCTCTGGTCTGTGCATATCCTGTCCGCAGCAGGGCCCGGGGCTCGGGGCTCGGGGCTCGGGGCTGGGGCTGGGGCTGGGGCCCAGCTATTCTGCAGCTTGTGGTTCCCACGTTCCTGTTGCCCCTTTAAGATGCCGTGGCCCCTTTAAGACATCGTGGCTCCTCTAAATCATGGCCCCTGCGGAGATCCGTAGTTGCGCGCCCAGCCAATGGCGGTGCGCGGAGTAGCCCGCGGTGGCTGCCGGGAAGCGTAGTCCGCCGGTGTCCCAGGTGCCGGTCCGTGATGTCGGTGGCAGGGCGGCTGCTCCTGCTGTTGATGTCGCTCGGCTGGGCCCGGCCCGCGGCATGCACCGACCCGGCGAGCGGCGGCTGGTGAGCACGGGGGGCAGAGCTGGGCCGGTGCTGGTACCGGTACCGAGCCCGGTGGCCAGCGGAGCCTCCTGTTGCAGGCTGCTGGGCACAGTGCCGGAGGAGCAGCGGTGCACCGTGGAGCGGGCAGACGCCTCCCTCACCTACCCCCTCTTCCTGCAGCGGTACGGGCAGGCCGCTAAACCGAGAGGGGGTCCCAGGCGGGGGTGCAGGGAGAGAAGGAGGGAGGCAGGTCCCGGTGCCCCGGGATCGGTTGTGGGGCAGGTCTCGGTGTGCTCGCCCGTGCGGGACCCGGTGTGGCTGCTCTGTCTCCCCAGGTTCGCCTTCTCCCGGCCGGTTATCCTCCAAGGGTTCACGGACAACTCGGTCAGTGCCGGGACAGGGACCGGGGGGGTCCGGGCACGACCTGGGGGGACACGCACACCTCGGTACCCCGGGAGCGGCGGCGGCAGCATCACCCCATCCCCGCTGTGCGCTCCCTCCCCAGGCCTTCCGAGCCCTGTGCACCCGGGAGAAGCTGCTGGCGGCCTTCGGGTCCTCCCCGGTGCGGCTCAGCACGGCCAACACCTACTCCTACCGCAAGGGTGAGCAGCGGGGACCCGGCCCTCGGCGGGCAGAGCCTGTCCGGGGGGCACCGGCCTAACGCCCGCCCCTGCCCGCAGTGGACGTGCCCTTCACGGAGTACGTGGAGCAGCTGCTGGAGCCGCAGGATCCTGGCAGGCTGGGCAGTGGTGGGTAGCATCGTCCTGCTCCCCACCACCGGTACCCACTGCCTCGCTGGGCTCAACCTCCCCTCTGCCCCCCCCCCCCCCAGACACCCTCTACTTCTTCGGGGACAACAACCTCACGGAATGGGGCCCCCTCTTCCAGCAGTATGTTCCCCCCCCCTTCCGCCTCCCGGGGACCAGCCTTGCCTACAGCTTTGGGATCGCAGGTGGGATCAGGATTGCCAGCCAGGACGGTGGGTGCGGGCAGCCCCAGGGTGGGGGGATTCTCCCCAGCACCCAACCTCCCCACTTCTGCCATAGGCTCAGGCTCTGGTGTTCCCTTCCACTGGCACGGCCCTGGCTTTTCTGAGGTGATTTTCGGCAGGAAGGTGAGCTTTGGGGGGTGTATTTAGGGGAAGGGAAGACCCCAATAGGCATCCCCCAACATGGGGAATGGCTGAGCCCGAGGGAAACAGGAGATGGGGTGTGTGTGTCCTGGTGTCTTCCAGCGCTGGTTTCTGTACCCACCGGAGAAAACACCCCACTTCCACCCCAACGAGACAACACTGGCCTGGCTCCACCACACCTACCCCACGCTGCCACCAGCTGAGAGGCCACTGGAGTGCACCCTCCGCCCTGGGGAGGTGAGTACCAGCAGGGCCCACAGCACCCCTGCTCTGCACTCCCCTTAGGGAGGACACCAATGGGTCCACCTCCTGGCAGGTCCTGTACTTCCCTGACCACTGGTGGCATGCCACGCTCAACCTGGACACCAGCGTCTTCATCTCCACCTTCCTGGGGTAAGGCTGGGAGCACAGAGATACATCTGTGTCCTCCCGCTCCTGCAGCCACCAGGTGTTGGGACCAAACGCCTCAAGTTCTGTTTTTTACTGGTCTTTTCCCTCCCCTTTGGATTAAAGTTGTTCTGCTGTTGTTCCTTGTGTGTTGCTCCATCCCCACCGCCACAGGAGTGGCCTAAGCCCACGCGGACAGGCCCTGGTTCCCAGACCAGGCTCTCCCTGGCTGTCTGCCATGAACCACCCCAGCTTTGGATTTTCCACATTTATTGCTGAAGTAATTTTATTTTCATATATATATTTCTTAAGTTGCCACTTCCAGAGGTGTTCCGAAGCCCGGCAGCCACCCGAACACCTGGAGGCTCGGTCGAGTGCAGGTCTGGTGGTTATTCTGTTGTTTGTCAAGGGATTTCAGTAAAAGGAAGAAGAACTTTTTAACTCGGGTGGTTGTCTGCAGGGAACCACGGTCCCAGCGGGTTGAGGGGACGCATGAGCCAGCCCCATCCAGCCCGAGGGGGCTGTTGTTTCCCAGGAAAAGCCAAGGCGACTCCCTTGCCACTCTCACAAGTGGCTGTTTCCAAGGAAGAGCAGGACTCAACCCTGGCCAGGCAGGAGAAGGAAACAACTATGTACATCGGGAGGGAAGGGGGCCAGACCAGCAGCAGGCAGTCATCCCAGCAAGCTCCTCACAGCACCTCCCTGGCGCAGGATGGGATCTTTGGGGATTGTCAGCTGCTGGAGCTGAGGGGGACGCTGCTCTCTGGGCAATGAAGATGATGGTGAGACCTTCCAGGCTGCTGCAATGAGCCAGCCTGCTCAACAAAAGCTGGTGGAGAGGGGAGCCTGGGGAGCCTTCACGCCCACCCAGCCACTGTGGCTCCTCAGGAAGGGGAGGTGGTGACAGTGTGCCCTCACCCAGCCACCGCCGGGGCTCTGGGTACCCAGAGCAGAGGGGGAAGAGCCAGAGAGCAAGTTAAGGCCTGGTGCCAGCCGCGGGACCATGGCCCCTCAGTAATCCTCCACCCAGCCATTCTCCGAGATGAAGGCGTCAATCACCTCCTTCATGGCGAGGTTGGGGATCAGCTGGTCCTGGGTCAGGGGGCTCCGCGTCACCGGGTCGAAGTGCCCCACACGCTGCAGGGGAGGACACCTCCATGTGAACCGGTTACTCCACACGCTCAGCCCTGGGGCATCCGGCACAGCATGCCGGGAGCGGAAGGAAGGGGACAGAGGCACAGTCCCCTCCCACAGTGCCACCCAAAGCAGGGCCAAGGCCCTGCCAACAGCCACCTCCGCTTTGGGCAGTGCCTGCTGCTTTCCTGCATGTCCCAACGCCTCCTCAAGGAGCTGCCCGGGCAGGCACCCGCGACCAAGCCCAAGGAAGCTTCTGAGCCCTTGGCTGGGCAAGCAGGTGCCTCCAAGCCCAGGCAGGACAGGACCTGGGGAGCCCCCAGTGCTCCCAGCCCAGCAGTACCTGGAGATGCTCCTCGATGTCCTTCCTGTCGTAGGTGATGCCGCTGGGCGTGATGCACGGCTCCCGCATCAGCTCAAAACTGATCTTCCCACACAGGTAGTCGGGGATGTCTCGCTTCTGGAGAGAAGCAGAGCTGGGTCAGCAGGGGCTGGGGGAGACCAGCATCAAAGAGAGGGCTGGGAGGTTGTGCTGGATCGGAGCGAGGAGCAAGGAATGTGGCAGAGGTGGGAGCATGGACTGAAGCACGTTTATGGCGAGCAGCTCCAGCCAGGAGCGCAAGCCGGGGCACGCTCACCTTCCTCTTCTCATCCACTTGAGAGAAGAGCTCGTCCATGTCTGCCAGGTATTTGTCCTGAAAGAGAAGGCCTTGAGGAGAAGGGAACCCTGGTGTATGGGGGTCCCCAGAGGACAGCACCAAGGCCTCCCACCCACGGATGCTGTGGCAGGTCCTGGTGGCCCCTTTGCCTTCACAGCCCCAGCCAGGCTGAACCGCAGGGCGGGAGTGATCCAGCTTAAAAATAACCCTCCAGGAGGGGCTATTTTTATCCCAGGATTAGTGCCCGGCGCCATGCTGTCACCCAGACCCACATGTGGCTGAGAGCCCTGGGACAACAACAGGAGAGTAACAGGAGCAGCAGATGAGGGAGCACAAACAGGAAGGGCTGGGACCTCAGGTGACAGAGCAGGGGCAGTGTCACATAGGGATGCAAAAGCCCTGCACCAGCAGCTCAAACCACACAGTAAAGGCTGAGAGGCCATGCTCTGCCCCTGGGTCTCTTGACTTTGGCCCGCATGGCCCTGCAGCTTCCTTGACCACAGCATGAGGATAAGGCAAGGATGTCATGGAATTATGGAATGGTTTCGGTTGGAAGGGGCCTTAAACCTCATCCAGTTCCAACCCCCTGCCACAGGCAGGGACAACTTCCAGTAGACCAGGTTGCTCCAAGCCCTATCTAACCTGGCCTTGAACACTGCCAGCGATGGGGCAGCCACAGCTTCTCTGGGCACCCTGTGCCAGCGCCTCAGCACCCTCACAGGGAAGAGCTTCTGCATAAGATCTAACCTGAACTTCCCCTGTTTTAGTTTAAACCCGTTACCCCTTGTCCTGTCACTATAGTCCCTGATAAAGAATCCCTCTCCATCATCCTTATACGCCCCTTCAGATACTGGAAGGCTGCTCTGAGGTCTCCACACAGCCTCTCTCTCCTCCAGGCTGTCCCCGAGCTTACCTCAGCCTCCACAAGCAGCCCCACCACTACACTCACATGTTTGGCCTCGATGCTGGCTAGCTGAATGCGGCTCCGGCTCTCGTCGGCGTTCTCTTCCTGCTGAGTCTTCCTGCACTCAGCCAGCTCTCTAGGACAGAACAGGGACATCAGGACAGGATGGAAGGACACCACCACTCCCTTCCCTGCTGCTGCCCCAGCAGCAGGGCTCTGGGTGCCTCCAGGAAGGAGGAGCCACCACAAACAATGTGCTTTGTGGCACTAAAACGGCCTTGCTGGGTGCTGCCCCTTGGCACCTTACCTCTCCTTCTCCGCCATGATCAGCTTGGTCAGGTAGGAATGCAGCTCGTTCTCCTGGTTGATCCGCTTCTCCTCAATACTGTTCCAACGCTTCTTCTTGGCGATGCGCAGCGCGCTGGGGATGTCATCCCCGAAATTCAGCCGCTGCTCCTTGGCGAGGTTGTAGGCTGGGGGCAGAATGAGCACCTCAGAGCCAGCATCTGGCTTCCCCTTTGCTATGCCTGGCCGCCTCCCGGTGCAGGGCACAGTGGGCACACTGGCAGCGCTCCTGCTCACCTCGCTGCAGGTTGGCGATGGCCTCGTCATAGTTTTCCATCTCCATCTGGCACTGGCCCAGGAAGAAGTGAGCCTTCACTGACTGTCCGTCGAGCTCCAGCGCTCGCTTGCAGTCCGCCAGCGCCTTGTCGTGCTGCTGCATCTTCAGGTAGCACAGGGCTCGGTTTGTGTAGTACACAGCCACCAAGGGGTTTCGGTTCTGCAAAGAGACACTGGTGTCATGGCCAGAGACAGCAACTGCTGGCACGGGTGAGACGTGGTGACAACAGGGTGATACTAGGGTGACTCGATGAGCCGGCTGCGCAACACTGTCACTGTGGTGACCAGCTTGCACCCTGAGGGGAGCTGCTCAGATGGATGTGGGACAACTTGGGGTCAGTCCCCATGGGGCACCCATGTCTGGGGACACCCCCCTGGCCCCATGCCCGACCTGGGAGCACCCCGGGGGGGCAGCCTGATGGAGGGGGGAACACCCGAGGGTCCAGTTCAGAGCGGGGCAGGCCGGGGTACCCACGCCCAGGGATGGGGCTGGAGCCAGGCCGGGTGCGAGGCTGTCTAAGCCAGGCCTGGGAGGAGCCGTTCATGCCAAGGGGAAGGATGGGACGGGGCCAGGTAGGGGATCAAGGCCCGGGGGGGGATCCAGGCAGGGGTAGGTCCCGTCCCGTCCCGGGGGGACCCAGGCCAGGCTCGGAGGGGGCGCGTCCCGGCGTTGTCTCCTCTCGTCCCGTCCCGGGTGGGGGTGCCGCAGACACTCACGATGGCGCGGCCGTAGCAGGCGGCGGCCTCGGGGTACTTGCGTCCGCCGAAGAGCCGGTTCCCCTGCTCCTTGTGCTCCTGCGCGCTGTGGCTCTTCTCGGGGCTGCCGCCGCCCCCCGCGCCCCCCGCGCCCGGCCCCGCCGACCCGGCCCCCGCCGCGCCGCCCTCCCGCTCCTCCTTCCCCTTCATGGCACCGCCCGGCCCGGCCCGGGCCGGCGGCTGCGAGAGCTCCGGCCGCGCACTGCGACAGCCGCCGCGCCGCTTCCGGGGGCGGGGCCTACGCCGGGGCGGGGCCTCTGCGGGGGTCAGGGCCACAGGAGAGGGGCGGGGGGAGAGAGACGAAGGGGCGTGGTCATCAGGAGGAGGGGCGGGGCCAACAGGCGGAGGCTGGGCGGGGTGCGCTTTGGCGGCTGGGTTGGGGGGGGCTGGTTGCGGGTTATGGGGATCGGGAAGGAGCGAATGGGCGCTATGGGCTGCGGGGCTGAATGGGGGGGTGAAGGGAAGCGTGGGGGCCTACAAAGGCGGTGTGGCGCAGATGGGGGGTGCAGGAGAATGGGGAGGTGTTGGCTGTTTGGGCTGGGTGCTTGGGGGGGGTGTCAGTGCCCAGCCATGGCTGCAGCCACCCTCCCCCCGCCGCTTCCCGCGTTCTCCAGCTCCAGTTCCCACACAGGGATGGGGACGCAGCCTCGGCCCCCCGCCCTCCTCCTTCACATACGCACCCCGGCAGTGTGCAAAATATTTATTTATACTCCAAAAAGGCCGGGAAAGGGGGAATTGGGAATTGGGGGGGGTTGGAGCAGGCCCCCCCCCCCCCCCGAGACCCCGTCCCGGGGCTCGCCCCTGCCACGGGGAGGGTGGTGGCAGCAAAGCGGGGGAGAGGGGGTGGGGGGGACACTGCTGAAACGAGTTGTGCCGGTCTCAGCCCATTCGCCTCTGGCTGCGCCCCCCCTACCCCCCCGTTATTCTCTTTTTTTTCTCTTATTTATAGTTATTTTGGCATAGAAAAATAAATGGTTCCTATTTTGGCACCAGTCCTTGGTGTGAAAGTGCAGGTCCTGGGGGGCAAGCTCAGCCCCCTCTCCCCCGGAAAGGGGGTACAGGAGCAAGCGGGGTGTCCCCACTGCTCAGCTCCATCCCTGGGGGCACATCAGAGCCCTGCGGGCACCCGGGGAGGGGGGATGCCGGGGCAGGGCTGGAGCATCGTTGGGGTGAGGGGGGGGCACAGCCGATGGGGGGTCCATGGGGTATGTTATGGAGTGGACACAGCCCGCGGTGGGGGGCATCGCGCTCGCTAGCACCGAGGGGGCAGGCGGGCAGGGGGTTGGCCTGTCCCCATGTCACGCGTGTGACCCCACCTCTTCATTCTCCGGCGAGCTTTTGGGGAGCAACATAAAGGGGTTGGGGGG